GTATATTTATACATCTACGCACCCACAAACACATTATATATATATATATATATATAATATATATGTATGTGTGTGTAGTTGTGTAAATATATATATATATATATATATATATATATATATATATATATATATATATATATATATATATATATAGTAATATAGATACATACATACTTTCGTGTACGATCATATGTAAGCTGCTTAATGTCAAGTTCATCATTATGCAGACATGAACAATGACTACATCGAACTATACGCGATTACGCACCACCGTTATGATGCCGACCATATTGAGGGTGATCTCCTTTATCCGTGCATATGTGTCCACAGTCGTAGGCTCTGCGAGTACATCCACGATTGTACCCAATGCATCAGGAAAGGCGATCGTAGCTGCCGTCGAAGCGCCCAGGCCCACCATAGCTAGACTCATGAGTTTATACTCGGACTTCAGAATACTCAACACCTCTGTGAGTTTTACCTGCTTGCCTCTCGTAGTGTCCAGCTTATACGAGTGTGTATGCGGTCTCTTATGCCCGCGATGTGCATGCCCTACCGTCACTCCCTCGTCGGCCTCCTCACTAGCCGCCTGTGCTTCCGACTCCCCATACCGATACAAGCTAGCATAACTATGAGCATCACCTGCTTTACAATTACCGTGATCGCCCCCTCGCCCCTGTCCTTGGTGGTTCGTCTGTCCATGAGAGTGTCCACCTCCTTGCTGATGCAATACCGAGTTATTGCTATCCAGCATGTCATTTGTCTGTTCGCGTGACGTTTCCTCTAACCGCTGCTTTTTTAGATCTCGTGTTTGTGCAGCCACGGACGCTAACTTCATTCCAAGTGATTTGTTTTTACTGTTGGGAGGAGGCGCGGCGAGTGTTTTACTTGTTGACACACTGCGAGTCTTGACCTTCGCTGCTTTACCTTTCTTTGAAGAATATGCACGTGTTTGTACACGTACATTGAATTGCGACACTGCATGATGGTCTTGTCCATGTGAATGTGTTCGAGAATTTGGTACGTGCTTCGGGTGTATACCTGATCTCAGCCATGACCTTTGTTGTGTATATACTGATGTTTGAATGTGTGCAGAATAACTGTTTGAAGACTTTACTGCGGCGAGCGGAGTAGCACTCGACACTCTACTGAACACTCCGTTGAACGTCGCCGCTGCGTTACGGCTAGCACTGTTTAATGCAGGAAGCATGATGCAATTGTGGGTTATACGAAGACTAAGCCATAGAGACCAAAAGAGCGGCGATCACAAAAAAAAATCAGGTACCACAACTGGAAGCATCTATCTTCTTCCATTCATTTATTATATAATACGGAAGAAGATTGCTTTACTGTATTGTATTTTTGTAATGCCAAAAATGTATGATAATCCCGTTCTATTTATTTACATTCACCTCATGACTCATGAGTCATATTTGGAATGCAATCAAATTCATCACAGTCTCACAGGCTCTCTACTACTACATACTCTAGAGAGAGTAGTAGACACCAGGCCTCACTCTGATGGCTGATGAGTCCTCAATACCTCTCAGTCCTCAGTTCCTCACACGAGCTCGAAATATAGTATATTTACGTTAACCGTTTATTTTATGTTTCGAAGTTCTGTTCAATTTTTATATAAATAAATATAGATACGATACATGTAATATATGTACATTTTTAAAAAATAGCGGTGCATGTTTCCCAATAAACGTTAAATCGGATATAAATCGAAAAAAAAATACACGTTTGTGAACGTAAAAACAAAACTTTTTTATTTTAGGGCCATCACATCATTGACTCTATAAATTGGACGGATATTATGTATCTATTAGGAGAATGGCCCTCGTATTTCAAGCGAGCCCTGGCTATTTAAATTTGGTAAAATGAAAAACAAAACAAAGCCTCCTAAAATTAGGAACAAAACAACATTTCGTGTTCTCTGCAAAAATTTATGTGCTTTTTAGCTTTTGCATCATGATCCCGAAGCCCTCTGAACTTCTGAAGTCTGGGACCGGTTTGCTAGGTCCCGCCTGCCTGGCCATGCTGACCCTGTTTGTCTGCTGAAGCCTGGTGATTTCAACACATCTGTGGTTTTAACTTTTAAATCTAAACAAAATTGGTCGCTATCTATTGGCGCGTAATTGGGCCTTCTATAGGACTAAAAATAGATATAGAAATTCAATTTTTGCCGGTGGAGGACTGGAGGGCGGCGGCACAGGCTATTTAAAAAAATAGAAAAAAAAACTTTCATTCTACATAAGGAGGAGGTCTATTTACAACTTCATAAAGGGATGCTCGGATCACCACACTCGAAATGTCGGAGGGCGGTATTTCTGAACCTGAATCAGAATGTGTTCTATTTACAGATCTGCTGTTCAGAAGTGCAGGTGAATTACATTGATATGAATAATCAAATAAATTCCAACCTGTAGTACAACAAGTATGTATACATACACGCGAAATAGTGGTTTGCATATTTTTATGTCTACTTGATAGCATAGCTAGCCGAGGATGCTACTACATTATTCTTGCAGATACGCCTGGTGCTCTACTAATCGTTTGAACGGGCCGTCTTTGGTCATTAATTCAGTGTAGTTGCCCTGTTCAGCAACCTGTGGTAGATTTATACGAGTGGAGACCGACGTTGTAGTTAGTATATTTGCGTGCACGTATGTGTAGGTGCGAGACCAGAGATTCGATTACTAGACTAGTAGTCTTCCAACGAAGTGTACAATTGCAAGAAGCAAAGAGCATTGCTAACAGTTGCTTTGCATAAAAAACCCAGATCTAGCGTGCCCGATAAACATAGAAAACAAAATTAATCTCACAGTCATCGTAAGGACAAGATATGCACGTCCAGTTGGCCTTATCCATCATATCTTATACTAGTTGTACAAGTACAAATGATAGCACACGTTTGCCTCATCCATCATATCTTATACTAATTGTACAAGTACAAATGATAGCTGAGATGATGGTATCGCACGCGGGGGACCAGACGGGGTGCATTCGCCAATCTGCGGGGATTAGTTGCATGACACCGAAAATACACGAAAGCGTAAATAGAAATAGCATTACGTGTATACTTTGTGTTACACGCGTGTGGAAAAGTATAGACACGTTTGCCTACTACATTCAATGTGACTCACCTTGCCGTCTTCAATAACGGCAATGCTATCCGCTCGTTTGATAGTAGACAGCCGGTGCGCTATTGTGATCACTGTGCGACCTACCAGCAGGTGCCTGCGGGTGATAGATGTCCAGAGAAACGAGGTGTCAGGCGACAGGCTAAGTAAAATATGTCGGGATATTGAATACAGTGAACATGCTTGTGTGTATACCTAGACTGAAAGTAGACTCTAATGCCTGTGTTGATGCCACTTGTGCGGAGTCAGGGCCAAAAGACGTGGGTAGCGGAGACATCTAAGTATGTATAATGATAACTTGAAGGAGCTTTCAAGCCAGAGGATCGGCGTGCCTTGAATCTGGCTGCCAGCTATATGTAGTTGTTGGTGGGGTTGTGTGCATCGAGTAAGACACCATCTGCTTATTTGGGGAATGCATGTAGGTAGACGACACCCAATGCCTCCTTCATATACTCGCGCGCCGCTCGCTCAACAACACGCAGAACATGCATGTCGAGTGCAGACAGTCCTCCTTGTATCAAGCATTCACTCTAGAAATTCACACTAATACGTACACAAGTTGCACCCACACTTAAATATGATGTAAATTGTTGTACACATAAAAAAGACACAACGATATAACGCATGCCACAGAAGACTCAATGCACATACTTCTCCAAGGCATCTTGCACCAGCCGTTCACTCTCTCCGTCGAGAGCACTTGTAGCCTCATCCAGTATCAGGATGGTGGGGTTCTTGAGCAACGCTCGAGCAATCGCCACACGCTGGCGTTGCCCACCGGACAAGCTGAGTCCCCTCTCTCCTACCATGGTATCGTATCCATCCTGGAAACTGGTGATAAACTCGTGCGCATTGGCCTTCTTCGCGGCACTCACTGTTGTATTGATGGTAGGATATGAGGAATTGCTTGTAATTGGACTGCGGAAGTTCTACCAGGCTCCAGACCCTTTTGCAATTACTCAAAACACTGTCTATGGATTTACGCGCTTTGTATACATCTGGTACAGGCACCGTTACCAACAGCAGGAATCTCAAATGACCACTCCACATACACGCGGCCATCGGAATGCAGCTTGTATTAGCTTGATATTACACGCAAGCATGCGAAAGTGAACTTAGATATATACCTACCAACATATCTCACATATCCACAGCGTTACGACCACATGCGATGCTATAGGCGATAGTGGCGCTAAACAGGACAGGTTCGGATAACACAAACTGCAAAGTGAAATGATGAGACCATCCCCGCGTATACATCTCAATTTATGTGCAAACACCCTTGTATTCATATTAAAACTTTCTCGTACGACCGGATAGGTACAGTCATACCGTAGTATTGCCAGAGATGGACTTGATAGATAAGATGAGGGCTAGCTGTCCACACTAATACGTACATGTTCCCACTTACCACCCGAAATAGCCAGGACAAGCACATTCCAATACGCGAACATAACTTTGTATTAAAACATACATATACATGTGGACACACACACACACTCTCTCACACACAGACACAGACACAGGCACAGACACTGACACAGGCACAAAAACACACACCCGCATATCTATCTATCTATCTATATATATATATATATATATATATATATATATATATATATATATATATATATATATATATATATATATATATATATATATATATATATATATATATATACTATATATATACTATACT